GGTCCTGTTTCTTCCGCTGACATCGACTACAGCATCAAAGAAATTACTCTCTTCAAAAAAGCATGGTCTAGTAATGTTTGCTAGATCGGTGTGCAGTGCAGGGCTACATACCGATTTCGCCACGAGTGAAACTGCCACAAGCAAACATATATTTATCGTCGCTGTGTGCAGGTATGCAAAACCTCACTGACATGTCCGTGAAGCCACCAGAGCAATTCTCCTGCTACAGAAACCTCGCAACACACTGAAAACATGCCAGCGGCTGCAATGAAGGCCCCCTTGTCGGCAGTAGCGCCTCAAGAGGGAGGTTCTGTCTCTATACTAAACTTGGCCTGAAGTTTTGTGACCAGTAGAAATTATTTAAGGGCTACAACTTAATACCGATGTTGCTGTTGGTATCCTCATGCAACTGCAAACAACTAGTTATATAAAACATATGCATCTGTTTACTGTATGCCTGTGCGTGCAACATTTACAGATATCTTTAACATCATTTCATTGTCATTATCATCATCAGCCTGACTGCACCCACAGCAGGGCAAAGGCCTCTCTTATGATCCGTCAATCAACCCAGTCTTGTGCTTTCTGCTTCCACTTTATACCTGCAAACTTTTTAATCTCATCGGCACACCTAACTTTCTGTCTCCCCCTCGCATGTTTGCCTTCTCTGGGAACACAGTCCCGTTACCCATTAACTTTCAGATCTACTCTTGTGATTTTCGTGTCAAGTCCAGCAATCATGAGCTATAATTCACCCCCTGAGTTATTCATCAAGGCAATGTCACCAGCGAATTGCAGGTTACTAAGATACTCTCCATTAACTCTTAACGCTTACTCTTCCCAATCTAGGGCCCTGAAAACACGTGATGAATAGCATTGAAGAGATTGTGTCTCCCTGCCTTACACGCTTCTTTATTGGGATTCTGTTGTTTTTTTTATGGATGATTATGGTGGCTGTGGATTCACTGTAGATTTCTTCCAATATGTTTATGTAGGGTTTGTCGATGCCCTGATTCAGTAGTGCCTGTATCACTGCTGACATCTCGACTGAGTCAAATGCCTTCTCATAATCTATGAAGGCTATGTATAGGGGTTGGTTATATTCCATGCATTTTCTCATGTCCTTGGTGTCTCCTTTCTTATGAATTAAGATGATATTGGCATTTTTCCAAGATTCTGGTACCCTTCTCATCAAGAGACACTTTGTTTATAAGGTGGCCAGTTTTCTAACACAATCTCTCTACCATCTTTCAGCAGGTCCATTGTTATGTTATCCTCACCAGTTTGCAGAACGTAATAATTTACGGATCTTGAATACCTTCTACAGAAAACGGGCTAACCCTAACTGGACGTGGCTGAGTCCAAATGACAAAACTAAATATTAAATAGACTTTATTCTGGGGGGCACAACCAGGCATTACATTGTACAGGATGTAGAAGTAGTTGGCAAAATTCAATTAAGTGACCATAAAATGGTAAGAGCTCAAATTCAAGTAGACCTAAAAAAGCCCAGGCATAAACTGATATGCAACAAGCCAACTAATGAGCTAGCATTGAGAAGGAAAGTACGAGAATTCAGAGTTTTGCTTCAGAATAGATTCGCAGCTTAAACGAGGTAACGTCAGTTTATTGACACAATAAACTGACGTTAGTATTACACAAACTTATGTGAACATGGAATTTTCATGTTCTTTTCCTGCACCCCCCCCCCCCCTGCTATAATGCCTGTATGGGCGCCGTGGATATTAAATAGATAAATAAATAATCTGACTAGTATAATCGAAGAGTGCGCAATGGAAGTAGGCGGTGCAGTCACTAGACAGGACACTGGCAAACTATCCCAGGAGATGAAAAATCTCATTAAGAGGCGACAAACCATGAAAACCTCAAATGCAACAGACAAAATAGAGCTAGCAGAGCTTTTTAAGTTAATCAACAGGTGTAAGGCAGTCAACATAAGAAGGTATAACATGGAGAGAATCGACCATGAGGTAAAAAGGGAGAAAAGCCTAAAAGCTGTGAAGGCAAACTTGTTCACAAGCAAAAATCAGATGTATGCATTAAAGGACGAAAAAGGCAAAGTCACAACCAATATAGATAGGAGAGTTTAGGTGGCAGAGGAGTTCTACAAAGAGCTGTACAGAAGCCAAACCAAACAGGATGATATCGTAAGAAACAATAATAGCCCTTAGGAATTTGACATCCTACCAGTAATGACCGGAAAAGTAATGAAAGCTCTAGAAGGCCTGCAAAGAGGCATTTCATAACATTTCACTCAATAAAAAAATTACAATGCAGTCACCTTCCCTTCGCATAACATCGATTCCCAAGATACATGAATCCGCTGATTTTTTTTTTCTTTCTGTTCACTAGAGGACAGAGATAAGTTTCAACAACCACTTACTTGTATCTTGGGGCTGCTGACACCATACGATACGTGCAAGTTTCCTCATTTCATTCTACATGTTAGTTTTTTGCCATGTTGGACTGCACTTGCCTTCCCTCAGCACCTACTCCATCACACAACTAGTTATCAGTTTGACACATTAAATTGCCTCTCCATTTCCTTCTCTTAGTTTCCTCTCCAACTCCATTCTTGCATTGACACCTTAGTCTCACCTGTTGTTGTCCTCGTCCTTAATGTTATGCCTATAACTTATTGCTCATTCAGTCATTGCGTGGCGGCCTCAAATTCATCAATAACCTTTAATGTCATTTGTATCTTATATACGGTATTTGTATCAATATACCCCGCTCGCACACTCTTTAAAAACAGCAACAGACTGCTGAGCATGACTTGATAATGCCTTGCCCCCATGCGTGTTTCAGCCCATTTTATTTCTTGCATGAATTTCACTTTCATTATTTTGATTTCAATAACTGACCATCCTAGATAAATGACTATTAGCTAGCATTTCACAGGCTCACCAAGTAGCACATTATTGTCTTAACTTTATTTTCAAAAAATTGCATAAGATAAAATATTCCAGATTATGAGAGAATAGTGCTATATAATGAAATGTGGCATCGCTATACAAGAAAGCTTGTACAATGGAAGCTAAAAAACAAACTCAACAATTACGATACCGCCTAATGCGAATTCTGAGCGTAGCTTCATGTTGGGGTAAGGCCAACTACGTTTGTGCTTTGGCGTTTTGCAAAGAATCGACTGCGCCATAAATCAGTTTTCAAGAGGTCGGACAGCACCCACCATGCCTTTATTCATCTTTTTGCAGATAAGTAAGATACCCGCTACACGTCCATAACGTATTATGTGCACTTTGCTGATGCTGCATGTGGTTGATGATGATAACTTATGGCTCTTCCCTTTGCAGTGGGTGGGAAGCAATCACACAATCGCTGCTCAATCATCCCAGTGTGAATATCGGTTGTTATTTTACTCTTCTGCCATACTACATTATCCTGGTTAAAGCAATTCCTTACCGACATGACATCTATACAGGGTCTTTTTGCAAATGAGCTTAATGCCCTAGTGTTGCTTTGTGGCACAATACTGCACTACCACACAAAGGGCCTGTTTCAAATCCCATTCAATCCTAAGTTTTTTTTTTGTTGTTATTATTGTTATATTATTTTCTCAGGTCTATCAGTTAATTTTTCATGTCTATCAGTTAAGCCAATATTAGCGATGGCAATGCTGCTCAACACCTGAAGGCTGCACTCTAAAAAATTAATGGAATAAAGATTTTCCGTGAGTGAAAACACCACTTCAAGCTATGCTAAGCCAGTCACTACAGCTGTGCTCTTCAAATTTTCAGGCTGACATGCCCTAAATTACATTCAAAGTGACCACTCAAATCGAACGCTGAACCATCTACGTCCAAGATGGATCATACACAATGGCGGAGCAGCTGTTTGTGTTGCACTGTTTGTTCAATTACTAATCTGCACTTCCTTTTTCTCGTGAGAGTGCACTGCAATAATAGTCCATATGCATATAACAAAGTTCACATCAGGGGTTAACTTATCCATTGTTACTTGAACTTCTTAGATTTTAGACAAAAGCTAGATTTCTAGATTTTTTTTTTATAGCTTAGCCAGCCTGTCCACTCTCAAATTTTTTTTAAAAGCTAAATGGTGTCGGTCAAGTTTGAAAGTAAATGTGGACATGCAATGAATATCCATAAAGGCTTATATAAAACAGCATGGGACAAATAAATGTGCTGTGGTGATTCACTAGTCATGATAGGGCAACACCATCCTATGTGCTTGTCTAAAACCTTTCTAATTCTTGTAGCATAAGAACTCTGTTAATCTCCCAATTCGCAAATAATCTGCCTCCTTTAGAACGCCACGGCACATGTGCACTTCCCCTATTAGAAAAGTCATGAAACACTTTTAATCTCGATGTTTTCATTTTGGCAAAAACAGTTATCCCGGCCCCTACCAAACAGGAGATGTTAAGTCCTGATTGGCTGAACACAGTCATATAAAACTGCATTTTCAAACCAAAAATTACAATTTTTCTTCCACTAAAAAAACGCTCCACATGAATTTTTACCGTGATACACTCCAAATACCTTTACTAATGTGATGAACTTGGGCTGTTCCTTGCATCGTGGCAGTTGTATGGCAAATGCACAATGACATCCTAATTGTTTAAAATTGGCAAATTTGCATTCTACAATAACTTTCCCTCGGCTTAATATGTTTTATTTGACTAAGTGATCAAATAAATCACCCTTAAACTAAACAGCTATTTTCTTGTTTTATTTGTCAGTTTAATTGTCATAGCACTTAAACTTGACATGACAATGTTTGGCATATCATGTTTAAGCACCACACCCCGAACCAGTGAGTTACAATATGCGAAGCTTCTAACTTTTGAATAATATCACGAGAATTCCAATGGCATGACAGTAAGAGTTGTCACAAAGTGAACATGGTAAAGCAGTAAGCATGTGCACAGGAAGCCCCTATCATATCTCATGCAGCTTGATAGCTTATTCCCCCAATCCCGTTGGAACTATTGTACACACACAAAATTGTTTATTTTTCTTGTAAGGGAAGTTAATAAGCAACATGGGCTCATGGTGCATGGTACAGAGTACAATAGGGAGATCAATGGTCCAATAATCTAATTTAAAAATTGACATAACAATTATTACAAAGCTGATTTTCAAATTCAATGCATTCCCAACAGTGGCGTATTATTACTACAAAAATTCCGTGGCAGCAAAAAAAAAAAAAAAAAGAAACAGCCTATTCGCGACTCCGATTGAGCACTTGCCACCTAACGGCTGTGCTTGCAAATGGCGCTAACCGGGTCAACCTTGAAAGGAGATATGTGACCATGTTGCGCGTGTTGAGACACGGCCGCATAGTTCCTTTAATTTTGCCGTGCTGCACGAGCAAACAGGTAAAAGAAGAAAGCACCCTCCTGAGATCATTGCAGTGTGTTGCAATGCGTGGCATCGTGATAGAAAGATGGCAATCTATCGTTCTATAATTTCCTGACAGGTACAGAGGACGTGCGACGGAGAACGGCGCAAATCAGAAACTCGCGCATTGGAAAGAAAGTAACAAACACTACAAAAGCTTGTTCTAATCAATTTGCTTGTGATGACTTAATTATCCTCATTAAGTACACCATTTTTTTGCTTGTGTGCATTCTTATCAATATTCGAGCTTATCTATAAGCACTGCAATTGTAGCATCTGTAGCGTGCATAGCGTGCGCGCATATATCTGCCTGAATATCAACTGCTGCCAACACGAACAAGCAAGTGTTCGGAAGCACACGACCTTATTTATTATAAACTTAATAACATAGATCGACGAACAGAAAGAAACGAGCACTTCTGTTACAATCGAAACTACAATTTGCTTTATCTCCAGATACACTGACCCAGGCATAGCTCCGTTATGTAATCAAATGAACAGCACGCATATTTAGCTTTTGATCCCACAACGGAACTGAATGGCATACACGCAACCGGCAGCACGAGTTACAGCATAGCTACCTCAAAAACCGATAAGGCCTTGCCTGTAGCAGTGTAGCAACGCAGCGCGGTAAGCACCTTTTCACCTTCAACGAAGCAACACGATCCAACACCACAATAAAGAAACTTCAGCACTGCACGAACCAAAACCACAGCGAAAGTGCCACATTAGGGTGGCTAGAATGAGGAGGTGTGAAAAGAGGTTGCTGAAACCGGTCCCCAAAGCGCGCCGATGCCGCTTGGAGCGCTGCACGCAGAGGCGCGGGTACCCTTGCGCAGGCGACATACGAATAAGCGTGCGCTGCTCTCCGCAGAAGTTAGACGCAGGCCCGTAGCCGGGGGAGGGGGGAGGAGCTAGGGGCCCCTTTCCTCGTAGTTTTTAGCAAGTGCCCCTCCCCCCGGAAAAAATTTCTGGCTACAGGCCTGCTCTCACGCTATAAGGCGGTCAGCTATTTTCGGTGAAAACCTTTTTTATTGAGTCAATGTACGACAATACTTAAGATACTTAAGGCACGTAATGTCTTTCGTGGCTTAAGTATCTCTATATTTTCTCGCCTCTGAAAACAATTCTCGAGAAGGCATATGAGCGAGACCCGACACCAACTTTTGTGGATTTCGTAATATTGTGGTTACTCACGGCAGAACTGCAGGTGTGTTACGAGACGTTGCGATTACTGGAAAGCTTCATATTACTTAGAGCATGTTAAATTCCTTCATCCACGAGCACAAACGTCGGTAAAAGAGCCTCGTTTTGGTGCTTCGCCGCGGACGCACAATCTTGTGCAAGTCGCAGCTTAAATTCTCACTTGGCATTCAATTATCGGTTTCCGAACATAGAAGTTTTAACAGCCTACCATTGCTCATTAACTTAGACGAGTAACGAATTAAGAGTGCTAAAACTTACGTATGTCGCGAAGCCTCTGGCTCGAGAATCGTCCCCAGCAGCAGACATAGAGGAGACACTTTTTCAACAAAAACATAAATTTATTTCCATGCATGCCGAGGTATTCGTGCTCTGCCACTAGAGTACACATGGCTTAACTCTCCGCCCTTTGTTTTTGTCTTCTTTTTGGTTCATGCCTTTCAAAAAAAAAAGTGGACACGAGTGAGGCAATAAAATCGCACCCCACTTTTGGTCAAGATAGCACCATGCTTTGGGCAGCCAATTTGTTGTGTCTCGCCAATCCCCTTCAGCATCTCTAAGGCCGACTTGGCGTGAAGACGTGCTGAGCTCAAGGAACGAGTGATTTTGTCCTCAAGGTTCAGGATGAGGGCGTAAAGGGAATTCGACGGATGCAAAAGTCCACCCAGATCCCACAGCTTGCTTCCTGGGCTGGGAGATTTCCTGGCACATTTTCTCTCGAGACAAGAGAGGCGTTGTTGCACTCATCACAATTATTGCTAAGTATACGCTTTCTCGCAATGTAGCCTGCGACATAATATACAAGGCGGGAGTCACTTCGCTCAGCAGTGTACGATGCATGATCTATCGACACTATCGGCACCCAGGCACAAAGCACCAACGCTGGGTCTTTTTTTTTTTTACCACCGACATCCTCGGGCATTTCACAGGGACCTAACGCAAACACTGACTGATGGCATACTTGCAATGTAGCGACTGCTTGCGAAGAAAATCCCAGCGCACCTGCAGCAAACACAGGGAAGTGCGCCGCTCCCTACCCGCGCCGCTGTCATCAGCACCCCTTGCGGCATCGGCGCGCCGAGTGACCCTCTCCGACAAGCGAAAAGCGCCCCGCTCATCACACCTCCCCATTCCAGCCACCCTAGCCACGTTGGTAGGGTGGCTAGAATGGGGAGGTGTGATGAGCGGGGCGCCTTTCGCTTGGCGGAGAGGGTCCTTCGGCGCGCCGATGCCGCTAGGGGCGCTGATGGCAGCGGCGCGGGTAGTGAGCGGCGCACTTCGCTGGGTTTGCTTCAGTCGCGCCATAATTTTTTTCGTTAGCAGTCGCACTGTCTTACAAGTATGTCGTCGATCGGTGATTGCGTTGAGTCTCTCTGAAATGTCCGAAGATGTCAACGACAAAAAAGAAGACGCAACGTTGGTGCTTTGTGCCTGGCTGCAACACTGGATATTATAATTCTTCAGGAGAGAAAGTTTCCCTTTTCCGAGCTCCCACGTGTAGTGTGCTGTTCGACAAATGGATTCGTGCTATTCCAAGAGCGGACAAACAGCTTGACGAGAACTCCGCAGTGTGCGAGAAGCACTTCGACCCAAGGTATGTACAAAAAATAGAAGGCACGGTGTTCGCACACCCGAGCAAGAGACCAATTTTGCTTACTTGCGTTCCACGTGTCACATGCTGCATTGCAACATAACCAATTGGCTGTCCTTTTCTCTTTTCTTTTTCACAGATTTGTCGTGCGTACGTTCAAACATAGGATTAATGGTGAAGATGTATACATGCCGCGCGCTGTGCCGACCTTAACAAATGACGCCGTGCCGACGATTTTTCCTAATTTGCCTAAATACTTGACGAAAGCTCTGCCCAAGGAGAGAAAGAGACGGAAAAGCGTGGCTGAAAGTGCTGTTTCGAGTAAAAGAATTAGTGTGAACCACGACAATGTCGAAGAAGGCTCAGCGATTGACCATGACGTGATCGTTTCAGAACAGAACGTCATGTTGACCGAACAGCTGCATTCCTTAAGTGCTATGCTTCACCGTCCTAGCGAGTTGTGGTCGATGCAGAAGTTCGAGCAAACGAATGCATTATGCTACCAGACCGCTAAATTGGACAGAGATTTAACACCTCCTGTTATTCACAACAAGATAGTGTTGTTTGAAGCTGAGGAAGGAGCAGCTGCTCAGTGCAGCATCTTTCTGAACGGGTTCCTATTCAAAAAAAGTGGCTGTCAGACAGTGAGCCAAGCACAGGATCTTCTCAAGTATGCAGACACATTGACACCCTGCGTAGGAATTGGGACAATGGAAGAGTTCCAACCACTGAATTTGGAAAGCAAGGCGAAGCTATCTCAAAATCGTGTCTTCTCCCTTTCTTGCGATGGTTCCTCATCGATTTCGCTACAAGGTATTATGAGATATCGCAGTTGCGCAAACCCTGCCTAAAATATTTTATTTGAGCCTGTAGATACCTGTCCCTGCTTTGGTTAGACTTATCCACCGATTATGGTACACTTTACAGATGGCTCATCTGGACGTTGTACTGCCTGCAGAAAATGCAGAAACCTTCTGAAGGCTCGTCTGCTCCGTCTAAAAAAAAAAAAAGACTAAGCGGCCACTTGCAAGAACAGCTGCACAACGACTGAAATGGGCTGTTCGTACGTTGAAGAAAAAGAAAATGAAGCTGCTTACCTTGCAGGATGCCCTGAAGAAGATGCGAGAAAAGACTTCACAAATCATTGCATCTGTGTTAGAGGAAAAGGTACACTGTCCCATTAAGTTGTTATAGATTCATTACTAATAGCTTCTTAATTATTTCAGCTGAAACTTCTTCCAAAAAAGCAACGGGCTGCGGTGCAGGCTTGTTTTGACGCTGCCAAACGAAGGTCCTTGCGCGGATATAACTACAATAAAGAATGGCTCCTTGAGTGCATCATCCTCAGAATGAAAAGTGCACGACTGTATGAGCATCTTAGAGCACACAGAATTCTTGTCCTGCCAAGCCGTGCTTGCCTTCAAAAATACATCAAGGTATGTGATTGCATATGGTGTGCAGTATAGAGATGGTTCCTAATGTTTTTATCTACAGGGATTCGCTGCTGCTTATGGGTTTAATACCAAACTCCTGAGCTGTCTGAAGAAAAAAGTTAAAGACATGGATGAAATGGAGAGGCATGGGGGCATAGTAGTGGATGAAATGAAACTCTCTGCTCATCTGGACTTGCAGTCGTCCAGCAATATTGAAGGCTTTGTCGACCTCGGCAAGTTTACCGATGCCAATGAAAGACACCGCAAAGCTGACCATGGGCTTGTCATAATGTTCCAACCATTTGTGGGGAAATGGACACAAATCATTGGTAATATATTTTTTGCACTGTTAAGGCACATATGCCGAAGCGTTTTGTAATGCTCTATTTCTCTTCAGGTGTGTTTTCATCCAGCGGGAACGTAAAAGCCAGGCTGTTGACAAAACTTTTGGTAGAAGCTACAATTTTGTGTGAGCAAGCCGGCCTCTACGTGGATTACATTTGCTGTGATGGTGCGCCCTGGAACAGATCTATGTGGAACATCCTGGGGATACGCGCCACCCTCAATGACATTCAGTGCAGAGTTGTTCATCCGTGCAACAAACACCGATTTTTGTACTTTATATCGGACTTCCCTCACCTCATGAAGTGCGTGAGAAACACAATGATGAAGCAGGGCTTCAACACCCACAACGGAAGGGCAAGTTGGCTCTAATATTTCTGTGGAATTTTTATGCATAATGCGTACTTCTCAATGCTAATTTGAATCCTTAACAGTTCCTGATGCAATGTGGAAATTTTACAGGCCCACTGGGATCATGTGTCAACCATGTGGAAACTTGACAGCAGTGCCATCACCTTGAAAGTGGCACCAAAGCTGACTCGATCACATATCTTTCCAAATGGATTCGAGAAAATGCGTGTGGACTTAACATTTCATGTTTTCAGTGCCCAAGTGACTCGGTGCTTAGATTTTTACAAAGATCAGATCGAGGAGCAATACACAAATGTTGAGCCAACAAGACTCGTTATTGGTCTCATGGCGGAACTAATCGAGGTGATGACATCCAGGTTTCCAGCAGAAGCTTTACGGTAAGAGTGAAATATTTACCCTGTCGATAATTAGTCCAGACAAAGTTTCTACGCTTCATACATAAACATTATTTCAGGCTTCACAGCCGAAAGGAAGCTGTGCTTGACCAGGCACTAAAGTTCCTCGATTTGTGGGAAGCTCACGCAAGAGGACTTGGCTTTCTAAGCAAAAGTACCGCAGTGGGTTTGCGTGTGACGTTGAAAAGTACGAAGCACCTCCTGGAGTACCTGTGTGAGGAAGTACATTTCAAGTATCTCATGACGGCTCGCCTAAGCCAAGACTGCCTTGAGCGCTGTTTCGGAATCGTGCGGCAGGCAGGTGGTGGCAATGATCACCCAACCCCTGCACAGTTTGTTGTTATCACGAGGTATTTTATTATCAAATTTTACGCCTTATGTTGCATGTCGTATAAACTTGTTACGCATCTGATTATGTTTGACTGCTGTTGTGAGTAAAATATGCATTGTTTATTTATAGATGCCTCAGCTTCTATAGCCTGGCAAAGAGTCCGAAGGGTGGCAATGTAGCTGACGGAGTGGTGGAATCTCTTCTCTCTCTGGAAGAAATGCTGCACGAGGTGGAAGATCACAACGAAGACAACGAAAGACTTTCATCTGACGTGCTAGAAGTGTCTGTAGATCATGCGTCATACACTGTTGAGCGAAGTGACGCCCGCCTTGTGTATTATGTCGCAGGTTATGTCGCAAGAAAGCGTGTACTTCGTAGTAATTGTGATGATTGCAAGAACGCCTGCCTTGCTTCTAAAGAAAATGTGCCAGGAAATCTCCCAGCCCAGGCAAGCAAGCTGTGGGATCTCGGAGGACTTTTGTATCCGTCGAATTCCTTCTATAACCTGATATTATCCCTTGAGAACAAAATCACTCGCTTCTTGAGCACATCACGTCTTCATGCCAAATCGGCCGTTGAGATGATGAAGGGGATAGGCGAGACGCAACAAATTGGTTGCGCAAAGCATGCTGCTTTTTTGACGAAAAGTGTGGTGCGATTTTATTGCCTCACTCGTGTCCACTTTTTTTGAAAGGGATGAACCAAAAGGAAGACGAAAAGAAAGGGCGGAGAGTAAAGCCATGCGTACTCTAGTGGCAGTGCATGAATGGCATGCGTGGAAATAAAGTTGTGTTTTTGTGAAAAAGTGTCTGCTAAATTTATGCTGCTGGGAACAATTCTCAAGTCACACGCTTAGCGGTATAGGTAAATTTTGGCGCTCTTAATGCGTGACTCATCTGAGTTAATGTATACATTAACTCAGATGAGTTTTAGCTGCCTATAGGCAGCTAAAACTGCTTCGTTTTTCTGCGGCGAGCAGCGCGCTGCGGCGAGCAGCGCGCGCTCATTCGTACATCGCCTGCGAAAGGCTACCCGCGCCGGTGCGTGCAGCGCCCCAAGCGGCATCGGCGCGCCTTGGGGACCGGTTTCTGCGGCCGCTTTTCACACCTCATATTCTAGCCACCCTAACGTTGGCCCGGTTATGTGCAGCCATCTTTGTTTTTTCGACCAGTGTTGCCAGCACACAAAGCGTTTTCTGGAGTTGCAAATAATTTGTTTGCATGTCACCACTTCAGGATGGTAAAACAAATGTGAAAATATCCAACAATGCCGTTTTTTTTTTTTTTTCATGTGCAAATGATTCTGATGATAAAATAATGCAATAATATGCAAAAAGCTTCATGCTGAACAGCAGAGCTCACATAATTTCTATGTTTTCTAAACTTTCCCAGCATAAAACCTAGTAAAACACCCACTACAAAGATCAGTTTCACAGCACACAAGTTCAAGGGGCTACACTCTCTCCCAGGAGCCATGTTTTGTCTTCTTTTGAGCAGAGCTTAAAAAGCGTGCTCGTGGTCATTTTCAGATATGACAACCAGCAACCAAATGAAAAGTCTGGCTTCTCTCAACATCACTCTGCTCCTCAAAATATCTGATGTTATAATAAACAAGCACAAAAAAACTAAATGTGTGTTTACAGCAAGTGAAAGAAGTGCAGAACATCACAGCTGCTGAAATCCTGTTCAGGCCTTTGTGAAAAGCAAGAAAGCACTGGACATGCTGGGCTCATCAACAGTCTTTTCTGCAACTATTTGCTTGATGAGCTCAGCTTGTCCTTTGTCTCCAATAAGTTAATTAGAAAAACACTTCAGCTATCATGGAGGTCACCGCATAAAATTGCAAATGATGCTCACATCCACACTGGGCTCACGGCTGAATTCGTCACTCTTGGCCTGGCTGAAATCATAATCGGGATGGAACGATGCATTCAATGTCCCAATCAAGTGGAAGAGAGTCTTGCGATTGATAGTATCACACAAGTGGCCCTCTCCGTCATCACTCTGGCTCCGGCTGCAGACAGACAAAAAGAGGGGCAAATATGAACGCTGAGTTACATACAGCACACTGACAATGAAGATGTGAAGTGTCTTGCCTGTAAAGCCTACTTGGGCTCTGCGAGATCAGTACACTTTGCGGTGGTGATAATGCTTGCAAGTCATTCAGTCCACCACTTGCTTCAGCATTCATAGTCTTGAACAGTCGCTTGTCACTTCCCACCATCTTGCACGAGTAGCTTTCAATCCTGCGCAGAGAATACAACAGTGCACATGCAGTGAAGACTTGACTGTTCACTGCTGAAAGTCTTGGTTCAATGCTGACGGGGGATCACGAGGACGTGGCTCTTCGTGATCCCCCGTCATTTGCACGCGGACATTTGCAGTGCCTTCCACGACGACCCTCAGTGCGGTCACGCTGGCTCGTTCAAGACACACTCGCGTCTTCGCCCGAGGTACTACTGGCGAGGAGTGTATCGATACGTTCGCCGGTACGTTCAGTCGTGCGCTGCGTGCCAACGTCGCAAGGTTCCTACTCACAGCACCGCTGGTCCTCTACAGCCATTGCCCTGCCCTGCCCGACCATTCGACCGCATTGGAGTCGATCTCTTCGGTCCACTCCCGACCCCTATTGATGGCAACTGCTGGATGATAGTCGCCATCGACCACTTCACGCGGTACGCAGAAACATCTGCGCTACCAGCCGCCACTGCGAAAGATGTCGCCTGGTTCCTACTTTGCCATCTCATTCTGCGCCATGGTGCCCCACATGAATTACTTAGTGACCGGGGCCGCGTCTTCCTCTTAAATGCCATCGAGGTTCTGCTCAAAGAATGCCGCATTGTACACCGCATCGCTTCCGCATACCATCCTCAGACTAACGGCATGACTGAACGCTTCAATCGTACCCTTGCCGACATGCTGGCGATGTACATGTCGGAAGACCACACAAACTGGGACCGCGTACTCCCTTTCGTCACCTACACTTACAACTCTGCGTCTCAAACAACCACTGGCTTCTCTCCCTTTTTTCTCTTGTATGGACGTGAACCTTCATGTTCTATGGACACCATTCTGCCGTACCAACTGGACGTTTCTGAGGGCAAACCCATTTCTCATGATGATGATATATGGTGTGTTTTGGCGCAAGGGCCATTTGATGGCCAAAGAGCGCCAGTTCATGGGACAAAGAATGTGGACAATAATTGTGATTAGCGGCTGTATAAGGGCCATAAAATTCCTCGCAGTAAGGCGGGTAAAAACATACAAGTAATAAAATCATGACCATGCCGTGAAAGGTGTGGGTGGTGTGAATAGGTGACAAAAGTTAGTGATAATGAAAAACGATGGTGGACATGTATGGCATTAGCACAAGTACCTCACTCGTTCATACCCTTGCGTCCAAGGGCCGTGAGGCAAGTTCTTTCCTGTGTAGCCACCGCAGCAAAAACCTCTCTAGATAGGTTGTGCTACGGAATGCCCGGGTATATGATATGAAAATTATGAATTTCTTTTAAAAACGCTAACAATGATTTATTACTAAAAAGCGGTTCCCTACCAACGAACATTGCAGGATGTAAAGGTATATGTTGTCGGTAGGGTAATGGAAAGTGTTGTCTTCTTAGAGTGTCTAACTGTTTACATTGAATTAAAACGTGAAGAACTGTTAATGCCTCACCACATTTATCACACAATGGTGGATCACCACCGGACAAAAGATGTGTGTGTGTCGTGTATGTGTGTCCTATCCTGAGTCTTGTTAGTGTTACCTCTGTTAGGCGTGATTTTGATACTGGTGGCCAATGACCAAGGTGTGGCTTGATAACGTGTAGTTTGTTTTGTGTGTGTGTATCCCACTTGCTCTGCCAGTAGTCCCTGAGGTTTCGTTTGAGAGACGGCTTAAGATCAAGGGCCGGATTAATATGGGTGTAGGGGCAGTGCTTTCATGGACGGATGCAGCAAGCTGATCCACCCTCACGTTGCCTTGGATCTCACAGTGCCCTGGCACCCAGCACACTACAACATGTTGTTTGAGTGTGTAGTGTGTGCACAAAATGGAGTAGAGTGAGACAAGGACCGGGTTTTTTTGTTTTTTAAGACTGTGCAGAGCCGTTACCACACTGAGGGAGTCTGTATAAATTACTGCTTTTTGTATTTGTAATTGTTTGATGTGTTTAGCTGCCACAAGTATCGCGTAAGCTTCCGCTGTGAAGATACTTGTGCCTGGATGTAGAGGGCCAGCATCCGAAAATGATGGGCCGACAGCAGCGTAGGACACAGAGGAGTTAGTCTTGGAGGCATCTGTGAAGAACTCAGGACGTGTGTATTTGTGTTGAAGTTCCAGAAAGTATGTTCGGATATGGGCAATAGGTGCATGTTTTGTAACTTCTAGGAAAGACGCATCGCAGTCTATAGTCTGCCACTGCCACGGTGGCGGGTATCCTACAGGAGCCATTAAACTGTGTTCAAGTGACACTTCAGTTTCTTCAGCTAGACACTTCAGGCGAACTGAGAAGGGCTGCCTCATCGAAGGCCTGTTTTGAAACAGAATGGAGCTCGACAGATCATTAATAGTAGAGTACGAGGGGTGCTTCTTGTCTGCTTTCACCTTAAGAAAATATACAAAGGACATGTAAGTTCTCTGTAGGTGAAGCGACCATTCATTTGACTCAACGTAAAGGCTTTCTACAGGGCTGGTGCGAAAAGCACCCGTAGAAAAGCGAATGCCCAAATGGTGCACGGGGTCCAGCATCTTCAAAGCACTTTGAGTTGCAGACTGATAAACAACGGCCCCATAATCTAAGCGGGTGCGAATGAGGCTCCGATACAGATTCACGAGGCATTGCCTATCACTACCCCAAGCAGTACGTGACAACACTTTTATAACATTCATGGCTTTTAAACATTTTGTTTTTAAATACTTGATGTGCGGTACGAAGGTCAACTTGTTGTCCAAGGTTAAGCCTAAGAATTTATGCTCAGCTTTGACGGACAGACATTGCCCGTTCAGTCGAATGTCAGGTTCCGAGTGCATGCCTCTCTTTCGAGAGAACAAGACACACGTGCTTTTTTGTGGGTTAAGTCGAAATCCGTTTTCATCTGCCCATTTGGAGACCTTATTTAAACCCAGCTGAACCTGCCGCTCACACATGGCCAAGTTGCATGACTTGAAGCCAAGCTGAACGTCGTCGACATATGTACAATAGAACATATTGCGGGGAATGGACAAGTGCAAAGAATTCATTTTGATAATAAAAAGTGTGCAACTAAGCACACCACCTTGTGGCACGCCTGTTTCCTGGACAAATGTTTGGGAGAGCACACTGCCCAGACGGACACGCAATGTCCGGTTTGACAGGTAACTTTCGATTATATGAAACATTCTTCCGCACACACCAAGGTGGGACAGGTCTCTTAGAATTCCGAAACGCCATGTTGTATCATAAGCCTTTTCGATATCGAGGAACACAGAGAGAAAATATTGTTTATGGATGAAGGCGTCTCTGATCTGTGCCTCGATACGAACAAGGTGGTCTGTGGTGGATCTACTTTCTCGAAACCCGCACTGAAATGGGTCGAGCAAATTGTTTGTTTCAAGGATATGTACAAGTCAGCAGTTTATCATTTTTTCGAACACTTTGCACAAGCAGCTTGTAAGTGCAATAGGCCTATAACTTGAAGCTAAAGAAGGGTCCTTGCCCTCTTTCAAAATGGGAATAATAATAGTCTCTTTCCAGGAGGTAGGGATAGTGCCAGAAAACCAGATAGCATTGTACAAGCAAAGTAAGGTTTTTCGTGTTTCGGCTGGTAGGTTTTTTAACATTTCATACACCACACGGTCAGAACCTGGGGCAGAAGTACTGCAGGAGTTTAGAGATGTTCGGAGCTCCGCTAGACTGAAAGCTTGGTTATATGCCTCGTATCTAGTAGATTTGTGTTCGAGTTTCTGCTTTTCCATTCTTGTTCTGTATTTTTGGAAAGTGTCAGTATAGTGGGACGAGCTGGATACCCGTTCAAAATGTGCCCCGAGGAAGTTTGCCTGATCTTCCAAGGTATCACCTTGAGTGTTTACGAGTGGAAGTGTGTGTACTTGTTTCCCTGCTATCCTACCGACCATGTTCCAGACTTTAGCCACCTGTGTGTATGAATTGATCCCTGACAAAAACTTCTGCCAGCTTTCTCTTCTGGCCTGCCGACGCGTTCTCCTTCCTTGAGACTTTATTTTCTTGAAGGTGTCAAGATTTTCGGCTGTTGGTGAGTTACGAAGCAATCTCCATGCCCTGTTCTGTTCCTTTCGCGCATTACGACACTCTGTGTTCCACCATGGGACGTGTCGTTTGCCCGGCATTCCAGATGTTTGCGGTATGCACCTGGCTGCTGCGTCAGTTAGAAAAGCTGTGAAGTACTGCACAGCTTCATCTATGTTTAACCTACATATGTCTGTCCAACTCAAACGTGTAGTATTGTGGAACTGTTCCCAGTCTGCTTTGTTTATCAGCCATTTGGGAACATGTAGAGGACATTCATATGTTGTTTGTGAACTCAACACTACAGGAAAATGGTCACTTCCATATAGATTATTTATGATTTTCCATTTCAGTAGGGGTAGGAGTGAAGGTGATACGATGCTGAGGTCTATAGACGAGTAAGTTTTGTTGGCAACGTTATAGTATGTTGGCTCTTTCCTATTCAACAAACAGGCACCGGAAGAGAAGAGAAATTGTTCAATGAGACGACCTCGTGCATCACAGCGAGAATCGCCCCAGAGTCCACTATGTGCATTTAGGTCCCCAAGAAGCAAATAGGGTTCAGGCAATTCGTCTATTAAAGACTGAAATTCCCGTCTTTCAAGACGGTGGTGGGGAGGTACATACAAAGAGCAGATGGTGACGAGTTTGTTTAAAAGTACCACTCGAACAGCCACCGCCTCAAGGGATGTCTGGAGTGGTAAATGTGTACACGCTACTCCTTGATTAATAATAATGGCTACGCCACCGGATGACGCAACAGCATCATCTCGGTCCTTTCGGTATATGACGTAAGCACGTAAAAAATTTGTATTGGAGGATTTTAGGTGTGTTTCCTGTACACACAGCACTTGAGGTGAGTGTTTGTATAAAAGCTCTTGGACGTCATCGAGGTTCTTAAGCAGTCCTCTGACGTTCCAATGTATAATTTGTGTTTCCATATTGGAAGTAAAGTAGTGCTGTGTGTACGTTAAGGGAGTGACTTGTTTAAGCTGAAAGGT